AGGAAAGCCAGCTTCCTGGAAGCCACCCTGCCGGCCCCTCCCAGGCAGCCCAGTTCCTGGAAGTTAAAAGAGCTGGCTGCGGTGTGAGGGGTGCGGGGCGCTGGGCCTCAGCACCTTTCTTTGGCTTTTGCCACCTGCAGGAGGGGAGAAGACAAGGGCTCGATGTCGCTGGCAGATGGGACTTGAGTGTCCCTTTCCACCTTACCTGGGTCAAGTTACCTGACTTCTCAGGAGTCTCAGTTTCCCCATATATAAAATGAGATACTCAAAGATCCTGAAGGGCTAGCCATAGCATTGAGAGCAACTGGGTCCCCACAGCCTGGTACCCTAAAGCACTCAGAAACAAGGTAGCCATGGCGACTATTATTAGACTATCATCATCCTGCTGCCCTCCTTCTCCTGGGGCACAGAGGCGCTGAGAGATGGGCTGGAGGCCCTGGATGTCCTGGCCCAGTTATTAATACCCCCCGGCCCCTCCAACTTTGGATTTAGCATTCCAATGACGAGGGGCAGAGGCCGGAGGGCAAGGCTGGGAACAGGAGGCAGGGCTGGACAGGAGCCACCGGCCTCCCTCTGGGTGGGAGCAGTCCTCCCCAGCCTTAACAGAGACCTGGCTCCTCTCCCAGACACCCTCCACCTGCACTCTAGGGCCCCAGAAGGTGTGAAATTCCTGTCTGAAGTCAGGCTGGGGCAGCCATCATCTTAGTCCCCTAAGGACACAGCACTGTCCTTCCAGGGATGGGAGGCCCAAGAGACCAGGATCCGCTGGGCAACAGAGGGGACGAATTCACTCGTGGAATTGTGGACTGTCCAAGTTAGACAGGGCTCAGGGAACCCCAACTTGCCAGAAGTGGTTTTGAACTCGACTCTGGACTCAGACCAGAGTGACCAGAAAACCTGTGTGTCCTCCAGCCTCCATTTGCTGGGCCATTAACCAGGGAGGGTAATGACTCAGAATGCTCCCGCGGAATGGCACCGCCTTCCGAACATCCTGAGCCCAATCCCCACGTACTGAAAAAAAATAAGTCATATGATTATTTTTATTTGGCTGTTGAAAGAGCACGTGAGATAACATAAAGTAGGAAATTAGTGAGCAGTGTCTAGCAAATAGTGGGTATTGGTATCCAACCTGTCTAGTCATGGGTGACTTCTTTATGTTTCTGCCACATGAGTGGTGGCAGACCTTGAGGAACAAAGCCCTCCCTGGAACTTCCCACTCCGCCACCTGAACTAACAGTTACACTGCACAATGCTTCTTTGTTTTTTTCTTGTATCAGTATTTTAAAAATTAATAGCCCTTAGTTATTTTTAATATTAAATATCGTTTACTGAAGACCCATTATAAAAAGAATACCTTGCCAGGCATGGTCACACTTGCATATAATTACAGTGACTCTGGAGGCTGAGGAAGGAGGACTGCAATTGGAGGTTAGCCTTAGCAATTTAGCGAGGCTCCAAACAACTTAGGGAGACCCTGTCTCAAAGTAAAAAACAACAAGGGCTGGGTGCAGTGACATACACCTGTAATTCCAGCAGCTCAGGAGACTGAGGCAGGAGGATGGCGAGTTCAAAGCCGGCCTCAGCAACTTAAGGCCCTAAGTAACTCAGGGAGACCCTATCTCTAAATAAAATATAAGAATGGGTTTTGGGGATGTGCCTAAATAGTAGAGCACCCCTGGGTTCAATCCCCAGTACCAAAAAAAAAAAAAAAAAAAAACCAAACCCCCAAACTACCCTCTGAGTATCATCTCATTAAAACTTCACAACTTTCCCATGGCATAGTAATTATTGTTCCACTTTACAGCCAAGGAAAGCAAGCAAAAGAATCCATCTGAAGTCCATCACTGCAGTAGGCTCCTCCCGAGAACACGCGGGAACCGAGGTGGGCATATCACACACTTGCTGTGCAGTGGCCTCCTTTGCTCATGAACCTCCCGCTGGGCAGAGCTTGGTAGGGGCACTTCATCTCTGTTCCTGGTGGAGTCCGCCAGGGCAGCTGGGTGGCCGAGGTCTGGAGCCTCCTGAGAGCCCATTCATCCATGTGACCAGTGGTTAGTGCTGGCTGTTGCCTGGAATCTGTGGAATTGTCAACTGGAATACCTCCCTGTGGCCCCTCTGTGTGACCACCACCTAGGCCTTGGGTCTTAGGTCTTAGCTTATCTGACTTTTTTTCTCCAACCTTCAGACTATCTTTTTTTAAATTTTTTTGGCACAGGGGATTGATCCAGAGGCACTTTACCACCAAGCCACGTCCTCAGCCCTTTTTAAAAATTTGGTATAGGATCTTGCTGAGTTGCTTAGGGCCTTGCTAAGTTGCTAAGACTGGCCTGTCTCAGCCTCCTGAGCTGCTGGGATTAGAGGTGCCCAGCTATCTTTTGCATTTTTGTTTTTGTTTTTCTTTTTTGTACTGGGGATTGAACCCAGGGTGGCTTAAATACTGAACCACATCCACAGCCTATTTTATTTTATTATATTTTTTGGTATCAGGGATTGAACCCAGAAGTGCTCAACCACTGAGCCACATCTGCAGCCCTTTTTTATATTTTATTTAGAGTGAGGTCCTCACTGAGTTGCTTAGTGCCTCACTAAGTTACTGAGGCTGGCTTTGAACTTGCAGTCCTCCTGTCTCAGGCTCCTAAGCTGCCGGAATTATAGGTGTGTGCCATTGTACTCAGCCCCTTTTTATTTTTTTATTTTGAGACAGGGTCTCAGTAAGTTGCTTAGTGTCTCACTAAGTTGCTGAGGCTGGCTTTGAATCTGTGATCTTCCTGCCTCGGGCTCTCAAGCTGCTGGGGCTATAGGCATAGGCCACCGTGCCTGGCTATCATTTGCTTTTATCTTTTTATTTTTATTTTTTCAAATTTATTTTTTAGTTTTAGGTGGACACAATATCTTTATTTTACATTTATATGGTGCTGAGGATCAAACCCAGTGCCTTGTGCATGCTAGGTGAGTGCTCTACCACTGAGCCACAACCCCAGCCCTGCTTTTTAATTTACCTTTTCCCAGGTTTTAGTTTTTTTAGTTTTTTTTTTAATATTTATTTTTAGTTTTATGTAGTGCTGAGGATGGAACCCAGGGCCTTGCATGTGCTAGGCGAGTGCTCTACCACTGAGCCACAACCCCAGCCCCCAGGTTTTAGTTTTTTAAACAATATTTTAGAATGGCTGCATAATGCTCTGTTCCCAAGCATGCCCAGCTCATCACCACTCTGTCTGGACTGTTCTCCCCAGGATGCCCGCAGGGCATCGCTCAGGTCTCAGATCAGCTGTTGCTTCCCTTGAGAGCAAGTCTCTCTTCATCTCATTACAATGTCTGCTTTTCTTGATAATATTTGTTACATCAGAAATTATCTTTATTTCCTTTTTTTTGGGTGGGGAGGTACTGGAGATTGAACTCAGGGGTGCTCAACCACTGACCCACATCCCTTTTTTGTATCTTACTTAGAGACAGGGTCTCACTGAGTTGCTTAGTGCCTCACCATTGCTGAGGCTGGCTTTGAACTCACGATTCTCTTGCCTCAGCCTCTCAAGCTGCTGGGATTAAAGGTATGTGCCACCAAGCCCAGCTCTTTATTGCTTTTTAAATGTTTTATCCCACCAGAACATAATCTCCATGAAGAAAACAGGAACTCTTCTGCTTGCTCTTTATTTCCAGTGCCTAGAACAGTGCCTGGCACATAGTAGGTATTCAATAAATACATATTTCATTGACTGAAGAATGCAGCAACCAAAGTTGGCTGAGTTGGTCACTAACTATCCTTTTAAAATTTGTTTTGTTTTGCTTTTTACCTATTAACTGATACTTTAATAGGCATCTTGGGGCTGGGGTTGTAGGTTAGTGGTAGAGTGCTCACCTAGCATGTGTGAGACGCTGAGTTCCATCTTCAGTACCACATTAAAAAAAAAAATAAAGGTATTGGGTCCATCTACAACTAAAATAAAAATTAAGGGCTGGGGTTGTAGCTCAGTGGTAGAGCGCTTGCCTAGCAAGTGTGAGGCATTGGGTTCAATTCTCAGCACACATATAAATAAATAAATAAAATAAAGATTCCCTTAACAACTAAAAAAAAAAAATCTTGGGGAGTCAATATACCCAGGGTTTTTTTTTTTTTTTGTACTGGGGATTGAACCCACGGGGTGCTTACCCACTGAGCCACACCCCCGGCCCTTTATTAAATTTTATTAGAGACAGAGTCTCACTGAGTTGACTAGGGCTTCTCTAAGTTGCTGAGGCTGGCTTTGAACTTGCGATCCTCCTGCCTCAGCCTCCCGAGCTGCTGGGATTATAGGCGTGTGCCACTGTGCCCATCTTTTCCAGGGGTTTTGGAGGAAGGTTTTGGCATGAGACTTGAGTCCTTCTCTCACCTCTGTCATTTACTAACTTTGTGATGTTGGCCAATATATTTAACTTCTCTGAATCTCAGTTTCCTTATTTGAAAGGAGGGTAATATTAATGCCTACCTCATAGGGTCACTGTGAGGATTAAACAAAAATAATGGCCCAAGCCATGGCCAGAAGCCGCAGCCACCCATCCTGGCACCTGCTCTGGGCCGGGCACGGCCCTGGGTATTGTCCAGGTGTGGGCTCATGCCACACTCCACACCATCCTGTTTGCAGGTTACACCACCAGGCTTATTCTGTGAAGTTTATTGAGTTGCACGCTTATTTGTGCACTTTTTGTACCAGGATTATAACTGGAAGAAAACGTCCACAGAGCAACACTGGGCCCATGCAGTGGGAAACTGCACCCTGACCATTTTGCAGATGAGTAAAGTGGGGTTGGCCGAGGTTCAGTCACTGGCCCAAGATCATGGAGTAAGTGGTGGGACTGAGGGCTGCAGCCGGCCTCTTCACCTCCGCCTCTGTCCTGCCCCCGGCCTGGCGTGTTCAAGCAGTCGTTCAACAGTAGCTCTCATTATTAGTAACATTTAACCTTCCTATTGCTTTGAATTTTTTCATCTCTTTTAAGTAATGCTTTATTATATACTTTTGGGCATTTTGGGCTTTTCTCTGCTTTCAGATTATGTCCTTTGGATAGTGTCCCAAGAGTGGAATTAACTGGGAGAACTGGGGCCCAGGGAGCTGAGGTGACTTGCCTAAGGGCAGGCACATGTAAGCAGTGGTGGTTGAAGCAGGGCTGCCCTGTATAGTTGTATAGGTTGTTCACATCACAAGGGCAGCGGGCTTCCCAAAGGAGGCCCACTAGGAAGTCAGCCTTGGTCAGGGTTTGGAAAGCTAGGAGGAATGAAGGAGATGGATGTGAGGGGACTCCATGGGAAACCTATCTCACAAATAAATGCTAAGCTCCTACTGAATACAGGTGGCCTTCCACTGTGGATACAACAGTGGATCAGCCCATCTGATCCCTGCTCTCATGGAATGGATACTTTCTCACATGTGTGGGGAAGACAGTTGATGAATAAAGAAATTGAGTAAAACAATAATGGATTGAAATAAATATCAGGAAAAAAACCAAACAGATGCTTGAGTCTGTCCCGTCCGGCAGGACACATCAACGTGGGCAGCGAACCTAGATGGGGAGGAATGAAGGGACAAGAGACACAGAAGGATGACAGCAAGACAAGAGTTCTGATCAAGCTGCAAACTTTTGTTATTCACACAGGGGTATTTATATGCTGGGGATGGGGAAGCTCTCTTATCGGTAGTTGCTGGATGTCTGCACAAGGTGAGATAACCGCAGGATGTTTCAGGAAGATAGGTTTCAGGAAGATAGGTGGCCGCAGGATGTCTCAGGTGAGATAAGTAGCTGCAGGATGCCTCCCAGGCAGGATGTCTCCCAGGGGGCTGTCAGGCTAATCTTTGAAGGAGAATTTCCTTCTAGTCCCTGACATGAGTCCAGGAGTGAGGGGATGGGCAGGACCCAAACAAAGTGGTTAAGAGAGGCTTCTTTGAAGAGGTAAATCTTGGCTGAGAAGGCAAGAGCACACAATATGTGCAAAGGCCCTGAGGTAGGATGCAAAGAGAGGGCTTCCAAAGCCAGGTAGAAAAGGGTTTTGAAGGGTCATGGGTTCAGAAGTCACTTCAGACAGTTGAGAAAGGGCTCTTTGCCCATCTCTGCTAGTCCTCTACAGTCACACCTGATTGTTGCCAAGTACCCCAATTCCTCCTTCCTCATCCTCTCACTTTTGTCCTTTCCTTGACGACTTTCCTGGGGGGGGGGGCAGTCAGGGCAGCATGGTGCCCTGGTGGGTAAGGTTCTGGGGTAACCACTGGCTCCCTAACTAGCTCTCTGAAGGAACCAAAGCCCCCACCTGTCCCACTCCAAAGACCTTTTAAAGAGGCGGTTTAATTTACAGCCTAATTCCCATCATTAACTCAGGGTCTATTGCACATGAGTCCCTGGGCCAAGGGCCTCCTGTGCATTCTTGTCTATCCTCCTTGTGACAGCCCTGTGATCGAAGTTCGGAGGATATCTTCATTTTACCATTCAGGAAACTGAGGCCCAGAAGAGTGAATTGGCTGACTTAAAAGTCACTTGGCTGGTTAAGGGATGAAACTGAAAGAGCCCACCTTCTTCTGGCACCCAGACCCTGTGCCCAATCTCCAGGCCGCCTGGCCTCAGGTCTGGAGAGCCAGGGGGCCTCCTTTCCTGGGTGACTGGAAGCGCAGAGGGGTGAGCACTTCTCAGACGGACCCCAAGCCGGGCCCCAGCGGGTAGCCTAGACCTTCCCCGGGGTGGAGGCCTCCGCAGGGCAACAGAACCAGCAGAGCACGGCCCTGAGTCACCGAGTATTTATAGCCCAGCCTCTCCTCTTTTCGGCCTGGCCAGGACTTATCAGGTTCACTTGGGGCTCGAGGGTGACAACCTGTTTATCATCCAAGGTCCCCAGGCAAGCTGTTGAGACATCCTCTGGGAACGAGGTCTGGAGGCCTGCCCGTGTTTAGACCTGACCTGACCTCACACCCACCCCTGCGGAGGCCAGTCTCCTGCTCTAGGTGTCCCACCGCATTCCAAGCACACCCCAGCCCCCTCCACAGCCACACGCACCAGGGCGCTCCTGTCTTAGGTTAAAATGGGGCAGAGATGCCGCTTCTTCCAGGAAGATACCCTGGGCTGACCTGGGAAGGCTACACACCTCCCCTGGCCCCACTGTTCTTGGGGAGTGGACCTTGTCTTTGGGCAGATAATTACATCAGCCAAGACCTGGTAAGAGACACTATGTTAAGAGGTTGCTTTGTCTTTTTGGTTCCTGGGATGGAAGCTAGGGCCTCTCAACCACTGAGCCACATCCCCAGCCCTTTTTAAAAAATATTTTATTTAGAGGCAGAGTCAAACTGAATTGCTTAGGGCCTCACTAAGTTGCTGAAGCTGGCTTTGAACTCATGATCCTCTTGTCTCAGCCTCCCAAGCCGCTAGGATTACAGTCATGTACCACTGCAACCAGCAAGAATTTTAACATGGGGTGGGAATATAGCTCAGTTGGAAGAGTGCTTGCCTTGCATGCACAAGGCCCTGGGTTCAATCCCTGGCACAAAAAAAAAAAAAAAGAGAGAGTTTTAATATTATTTTTCTCAATCCTCACCATGTATCTACATACATACATACATACATACATACATATATGTACGCATATTATATATAGTATATTTAACACATATATATTACATATAATACATATATATGTATTTTTTTTTGCACTAGTGATGGAACCCCAGGGGCACTCTATCACTGAGCTACCCAGCCCTTTTCACCTTTTGAGACAGAGTCTTGCTAAGTTGCTGAGGCTGGCCTCGGACTTGCCATCCTCCTGTCTCAGCCTCCCAAATCAGAGGGATCATAGGCTTATGCCATCATGCCTTGATCTTACAATAATTTTATAAATTGGATCTTAATTTAGTATCTATAGATACTGAAACTCAGAGGAGTTAAGTAACTTACCCAATAAGTAGCAGGGCCAGCCTCGAAATTTGGGTCTTCCTTAAATCCAGATTCCAGGCAGTGGGTGAGCTTGGGCAAGTCACCTTCCCCTGGAGCCTCAGTTACTTTATCTGTAAAATGGAGATGCTGCTACCCCCCCTCACAGTTTTAAGGACTGAATAAACCTGGTAAACAGTAGGCGCCCAACCACTGATGCTATCCTCACCTCTTCAGCTTGTTGAATCAGTAAATTATCTTGTTCTGAGCTGCTGAAGACAATCAGCCAGGCCATATCTTCCTCTGAACTTCAGGGACTTGAACCCAGGACCCAGGCTACTCCAGCCCCCACAGTCCCGCTGCCCCAACTCTGCTTCTCCCTAAGAGCAGGCTGTTAGGGCGGAGGTGACCCAGAACCAGGGGCTGGGGCTGGGGCAGGGGAGGCCGGTGGGAGGAGCAGGAGTTGGGGGCGAGGGCTGGCGGGTGCAGAGGCACAGTAGACTGACCTGGCTGTCCCTCAGGGCATCTATTTTGGACAGGGCTGGCCTCCAGGCTGCTGGAAGCTGGAACCCAAGGTGTTAGTGCGGAGTTAACGGAGCAGCCCCTGGGGCCAGATTTAGTGGTTGAGCTCTGACCCCAGATGGCAGTGTGGATGCAGGCACAGGGCCATGCTGCCTCTGGGATTCCTGCCCTGGGTTCTGAGTGTTTGCACGGGGCTCCCTGCTCCTGATGCCAGCTTCAGCCCCTCGGTCCCCAGGGCAGTGCTGCGCCCCTAACTCAGGTCAGACAGGTTTGGGCTCAAGGCCTGGATGTTCCATTTATTACTTGTGTGACCTTGGGCAAGGATTTAATGTTGCTGTCCTGAGGGTTCTGATGGCTAATTGGGGTTCCCCACCCCGTTAGGGCCCTGCACTCCCAGCTGGGCTCTGGGAGGCAGGGCTAGTTCTCCTGTCTTCACCTCCCTGCAGGGTCCTGTGCGCCCCCTGCCCCAGGCCTTGACCTGCCTGCTCCAGGGGCCCTCGGGCCACAGTGCTTCCAGAAACTCTGATCCAAAGTGCCCCTTGGCCTCCTGGCTGGGGTCCATCTCAGACAGAGGTGAGGCCGGGCCAGGCTCCAGTGGAACTCAAGTTTCTTGCTGGGGCTCGTGAAAGGGCTTGGTTAAGGAGCCTGGGCTGTTTGGGTTCTGATCCTTGGGAGTACTGGCTTTGAACAGTTGGGGATTTCTTTCCAGCCACTTTTTTCTGTCTTTACCACATTTACATACCCACACATAAAAATTTTTAAATAGAACAGGATCAGATTGCATATAATTGGCCTGTTATTTTTCTATCCATGCCCAGCAATCTGTCTTTCTGACATTCGACAGCTTTCTCTATTAGTGTTCAATGTGGACACTTCTTGCAACTTTTTTAAACTGGGGGAATATTCACATGTGTATATCTATATGAATGTATGTATGTATTTTTCTGCATGGACAGTTGGGAAGCTTACTGGGGTTTGCTTTTGTTTTATTATTTAGTAAACTTTTTCTTCAACTATAGTTAAATGTACGATTCAAGACATTCTCACAAATCAGTGCTCCTGGATAACCCACACCTGGCTCAAGAAACTGCTCCTCGCCATACTCCCAGAGCCCTGGTGCTTCCTGCCTGTCCCCATGCAGGGCTACCACTGCTGTGACTTCTAGCAGCTTGGCTGAGTTTGCCTTTTTTTTGAACACTGTGTAAACAGAATCATACTCTAAGATCAACATTCTGTTTATGAGTTTCATAATGTGGCAATGTTTGTTTATTCTAATTCTGTACAGTATTCCACTATGTGATCCCGTAGCCATTTATCTGTCCTATTGATGGAAATTTGGGTCACTTCCAATGTTTTGCTATTACAAACAATAGTGCAAAAACCATCTTTGTGTGTAAATAGATCTGTGTATCTGCATCCATCTCTCTCTCTGTCATTTCTAGTTTGACGGCGAGATTCCTGAGAGTACATCTGCCAAGTCTCAAATAGGAATGTTTTACATTTTGACTTTATCAAATTGCACCCTAACCTGAGCTCGAGAGGTGTGCAGCGCCCACATCCCTGCACCCTCCCCAAGGTTGGATTATTTTCCATTTTTAATATTTTTGTCAATCTGATAGAAGAGAAATCAGATTTTATTGTGCTTTTAATGTGATTTTTCCAGCCAGTGAAGCTAAGCAGCTTTGAGTTTTGTTTCTGTTCGGGGGCCAGGGGAATGCTTTCTTTTCTGAATTGCCTTTCTGTGTCCCTCGCTGGGTCTAAAAATCTGCACGATCATGGACATGGACACTTGGTCTTTCCACGTGTTTCTCATGCTTTCTCCCTGCCGGTTACTTGTCTTTAAGCTTTGTTTATGGAGCAACTGCTGGTTTAAATATAGTCTGTTTTTCCTCCTGCTCGTTGTTTATGATCTGGATAGTCCCGGAGGGTGTGTGTGGCAACCTCCAGGTTCAAGTTGGTGGGGGTGGAGAGCTGCAGCAGCTGGACCCCCCAAGATGGTCTCTCTGGGGTACAAAGGAACACCCAGGTCAGCACTGAGCCCTTGAGAGGGAATTTGCCTTGGATGCTTTCTCTAGTCTAGTTTCTGGGTCTTTCCAGTGTCGTTCAGGGGCCCAGGTCAGAGTCCCCCCTCAGTGAAGAGAGTCTTTCACTTGGCCCCAGGACCAGGAAGCAGGGGAAGCCAGGGCCAGTAGGGGTGGGGACAAGAGAGATGGGGGAAACCCAAGAACAACAGCTAGGCAGCCCTACTCTCTGAGTTCAAGTTCTGAACCACTGGATTTAATGCTTGTATCTGTCTGCTCCAGCTGACCTAACAAAACACCAGAGATTAGATTAATTCAACAGTAGAAATTTATTTCTCAGTTCTGTAGTCTGGGAAGTCCAAGATCAGGGTGCCAGCAAGTTGGGCCCCATGTGGAGGCCTCCGTCTTGGTTTGTGGGAGGCTGCCATCTTGCTTTGTTGCTTTGTGCTGATCACAGGGCCTCTCCTTGGTGTGGGTGCAGGAGGGAGAAGGAGCACATTCCTTTTGAAAGGGGCACTAATCCCATAAGATCAGGGTCCCATCTTCTTGACCTCAGCTAATCCCAATTGCTGCCCAAAGGCCCCTTCTTCAGATACCATCCCACTGAGGAAAGGGCTTCCATGTAGGAATTCTGGAGCATTTAGTCCAGAACAATGCTCCAGACTTTCCTGAAGTCTAGCTTTGGGAAAGTTACCTGATTGCTCTGTGACACAGTTTGCTTCTCTATAAAGGGGCAATGTTAATGTTAAGGAACTAATATATCGATACATACCTACAAAACACTTAGGACAGACTGTGATTGCCAGCCTCAAAGAAGGTCTTCGTGGGGCTGGGGTTTTGGCTCAGCGGTGGAGTGTTCGCCTAGCACGTGCAAGGCCCTGGGTTCGATCCTCAGCACCACATAAAAATAAATAAAATAAAGGTATTGTGTCCAACTACAACTAAAAATAAATATATATAAAAAAGGTCCTCGTAATCCATGCCTCCTCATATTTATGGCCTTGTAGAGGCCCCTCTTGCATTGCGTCAGGATGGGTCTTCCATCCCAATAGAATCCAGTTGAAATGATGGTGGGTGACTTTTGGGCTGGATCATAAAAGTCTTGCTCTTTTTTTTTTTTTTGGTACCAGGGATTGAACTCAGGGACATTCAACCACTGAGCCACATTCCCAGCCCTATTTTGTATTTTATTTAGAGACAGGGTCTCACTGAGTTGCTTAATGCCTCTCAGTTTCTGAGGCTGGCTTTGAACTCATGATTATCCTGTCTCAGCCTCCCAAGCTGCTAGGATTACAGGTGTGCTCCACTGCACCTAGCTGTCTTGCTCTTTTGGATCCCTTGCTCTGAGAAAAGCCAGGTGCCATGTTAGGAGGATGCTCCAGTAACCCTGTAGGGGGAAGTACATGGGCTGAGGCCTCCCACCAACTTGCTAACCATGTGTGTGCGCCATCTTGGAAGCAGATCCTCAGTTCCAATCACCACAGCCCCAGCCAATATGTTGCCAATAACCTCTGTAGAGACCTCAAGCCCGAGCCACCCAGCTTAGCTGCTTTTAAACTCCTGAGCCACAGAAACTGTATAGGATAATAAATTGATTTTTTTTTTTTTTTGGATACTGGGGATTAAACTCAAGGATGCTTTGCCACTGAGCCACATCCCCCAGACCTTTTTATTTTTATTTTGAGACAGGGCCTTGCTAAATTGCTTAGGGCCTAAGTGGCTGAGGCTGGCCTGGAACTTGTGATCCTCCTGCCTCAGCCTCCCAATGCCGCAGCCTGGCTGGGCACAAAATAACCGAGCCGCCACGAGGCACTTGTAGGTTCAAACAGGAACTACTTTATTGCCCGAACTCTCACTCGCACTCCACGCATGCTTCCCGGGAACTCTCTCACACTCCACCGGGCTCCGTGCCAACTCTCCCGGAACCCCCGCGAGAACTCAACGGAAAACTCAATGGGAAACTCCGTGAGAACTAGCTGGAGCCGCCCTATTGCCGGACAGCAGGGGTCCATATACATCTGAATACACAGCCTGCCCCAATCCAGCATCATCCAGTCACAGCAATTATACACAGCTTAACTTAATTATCATCATCTTAATGGCTCTCAAGCACTCTCAACCACCACCTCTCAACCACTCCTGGCAATGCCAGGTGCCATCCCGATTCGGCTGTGGCTGTCAACATCCCAAGTTGCTGGGATTATAGGTGTCTGCCAACATGCTCGGTTAAATAAATGTTGATTTTTTATTTAAACTGCCATGTTTTGGGGGTAATTTGTTATGCAGCAGTAGATAATCCACAGATGGCAGGCAGGGTGGCATATATCTGTGGTCCTGGCTACTTGGGAGGCTGAAGCAAGAGGATCATTTGAACTCAAGAGTTCAAGGGTAATCTGGGCAACATAGCAAGACAAAGTCTGGAATTTAAAAAAAAAAGAAGGAAAAAAAAAAAAGAGAGAGAAAGTCCACAGGCCACAGAGTTATCCACAGAAAATGTCCAGGGGATGACAGTGAGCATCAATCACTCCCTGACTGTGTTGGGCATATGCATGTACCTGGGCAAATGGTCCCGCCTCTGTGACACCAGTTTTCAGCAAAGGATAGAGTGCAGGGGAGGACGGTCACCCAAAGGATAGTCACCCAGACCTAGACTTTTGGGGTAGAAAGGGCCAGAGAGATCTGTGCCCTTCTCTCATTTTTACAGATGAGTAAACTGACACACAGAGGTTAACCTTCCCTTGGTGACAGAGCTGACACCTGGCCTCAGATCTGTTAGTCCTGGGTGGCCTCCTCGTTGCTGTGTGCTCAGATAGGTAAGAGC